TGGTGCTAAGCACTTATGAAGAATAAAGCAAGTATGGAATAAAGGAAAAACATTCGGCAACATCAGAAGCAGAAGCGTCGCGATCTGGCAACATTGAAACAAGTTTTGAGAAGGACCATGTGTATTGACAGAAGGCGAGAAGAGAAAATTTACATACTTAAGTACTAATAGTTCACGAAAATAATAATTTTTGTGAACTATTATTACTTAAATATGTAAAAATTTATTACATTTCCTGTTGTACGAGGGTTTTACCCATTTCTCGAACCGTGTCAGAGTGAATCCGTGCTATAGAAGTGCCGTGTTATACGGGGAGTTACCTGTATATCTGAAGTACAGAGCTCCCGTTGGGATTCGGCTTGCTCCCTTGTTTATTACCTACATCACCTCAGTGCAGGATATTTACATTTATTCAAGTGTTGTGCAAATCATGGCTTCTAAAAAAACAGAAAAGTGATTTCAATTGAAACAATGCAAGAAATTATCAGAAGGAGTGAAAGTTGACAACAACTTCTTTGTTGAATGGGGAGAGGTTCAAGAGTTTACCAACACTCATTATCTAAACAGAGCTGAGGCCAACAGTATCAATGATCTGTACAATGACACCCTTGCCCGTCATTTCCGACAGGTGTTGAAGAAGAGAGAGAAACAGACCATCTTGGACATGTTTTTCAAGAAGCCAGAAGGGAAAAAACAAAGGATGGAACAAGAGGAGTTGACCCTGCAAGCTCTGGTAGCCTCTCCTGAATGTGAATCCGATTAAAAAACAATAAAAAAAAGACCCGCTGCAATGTGTAAAAAGTCTGTATCTGTATGAATGTGTGAAGAAAGTGTTTCTCCATCTCCTCCTCACAACATCTGACTACCCGGCATAATTGGTGACTGCTCCATTTTCATTTTTTTGTTATGGTACAGTATGGTTATTTTATGCTGCAGAACGAATTATATGTTTTAACAAGTATTTCTATGGAAAAATGTGTTTCGTATAACGGACTTTTCACTTAATGGACGTGCACCTGGAACGAATTAAGTACATTATACGAGGCACCACTGTATATCAAATATTAATTATTAAAAAATTGCTTCTCTTGGATGATCAACCTGAAAAAAATTAGACTAAGAGGTTAATGATGTTTAGTCCTACACTTAAAATGAATGCTTTATTCGTAAGTGTGTTACTAATTGATTGATTTGTATGATGAATGTACAGTAGTACAGTAGCCCCTTGTTACATTGTCTCATTATATCACTCATTCAAATAAAGGGTGTTTATAAATGAATGGTGCAGTTTTTAAAATTAATAATAAATCTATTTATTACCTTATATGGGCAAACTTAACAACATAAGCAGCGGCAACTATCCAAGTTCACAGGAATGTACGTGAGCTTCTCAATCATGTTCTTCACCAATGCTGGATTGGACGTGGTGCAACAGCAGACAACAACCTGTTCCCCTGGTCACCTTGTTTGCCAGATTTAACACCCTGCAATTTCTTTTTGTGGGGTTTGTTAAAGACCGAGTTTATGTACCGTCAATGCCCGTGCCCCTTGAGGAACTGCGTGATCGGATAAAGCATGCACTGCAGCCCATCACGGAGGACATGCTACATGGCATATGGGAAGAATTTGATTACCGTGTAGATGTGTGTCGTGTGACCATGAGTGTACATATTGAAGGATTGTGATTAATAAATAAAAAACTTGGACAGTTGCCACTGCTTATGCTGTAAGGTTTACCCATATAAGGTAATAAATAGATTTATTATTAATTTTTAAAACCGCACCATTCATTTATAAACACCCTGTATATTGCACTTATTTTGTCTTCCAAATATAAGAATGCTTTAGCCAATAATTTTTGAAAAATTGGTTGCTATTGAATTTCTACTGGCAAAGAAATATTACCTTATTCCAATCATTGGCATTGACACCACCACCACT